GGGGGGGGGGGGGGGGGGGCGGACTCCTAGGCTTAAGGATGCCCTACAACGCTGAAGGCGAGAGACAATGATGGTTCCCTTCCACCCAGCCAGAAACTACCAGGATGCCTTTTTCGGGACCTGCAAAAATGATTTGGTTGGGGCCAAAACTGAGACCAGGGTTCATACGGAGAGTTTGCAAGCCCTGGTTCAGGGTTTCACCTCTCCTAGGGATGCAGCCATTGTGGCGGATAGAATAAACCACAGTTAAGCCAGCTCTGGCTTTCTACAGGGGCAGGCGAACCTTTGTTGTCCAAAGCCCCCCCCCTGGCTTTTAAAAGAATCATGCTGAATCGTTCTGAAATGGGAAGGGCGTGCTGGGCAGAAGAAAACCAGCATTCGATTCCGTGGAGGCATGCCCTGAATTCAAATCAAAGGTTGTTGTGTGATTATTTGCTAGTCGCAGGCAATTTGGTAACAGCTTTTAGGCTCCTTGGGGCTTCAGCATCATAGGCCCTTTGTACAGGCTGTGATGATATCCCGGGCATCAGGACGTCATCGCACCCACAAGCCTAGTGATGTATTTTGTGTCACTTGTATAATGACAGAGGTGAACCCCTCAAGAAGACGCAACCAAATGCCCTCCAGATGTTTGGACTTTAGCATGGCTGTTGGCTGTCTGCCGGGGGTCAAGAACATCAAGATGGCAGCCACCACCGGGCAAGGAAAGCTACCTTTAAGTGTGTTGCGTGAAAAAGGGCGGGGCTTCAAGCTGCCATCTTGACTTTTGGACCTTCTCCCCGTGCAACCCCTGGTGGTCAGCATGAAGGACTATGGGGACTGTAGTCCCAACCTCTGGAACAGGTAGGCTTGTCTGCCATCCATCAAGGTAGCCCAAAGAGTTGGTTTTCATTTGGGGCGATCTAACCAGGGACGTCCAGAATCCACCACGCGTGACGGTTTGGAGGCTGACACGCAACACGAGCTCAGCTGATCAGGCCATTTTCAGTTCTGTTAAAAATAACCAACTATCTTCCGCTGAAGATATCAACACACGCACACACACGCACACACACACACACACACACACACACCCCTGCTTGAGGTTAGGCAGACAGCCTGCATCCGTCCTTCTGGACTGTCTCACCCAGAAGACGAACGTAAACAAGAGCCGAGAGGGAGAAAAGCAGAGCCGGGAGCAAATACAATTTGCAGTGCAGCCCCTCCAGCTTTTTGCCGTTGGACCCAAAAGCAATAGATATTTCCCCACCCTGCAAACTATTTTCAGTGGAGCCTGACAACAACCCTGCTAGGTAGTTTAAGCTTAGACAAAAATAACACGCTCGAGGTCGCTCCAGAAACTTCACGGAGAAAGGTTTCGATTGGGTTCTTGCCAGTCCTGATTTAGCACAATAACGCCGAGCTCTGCAGGGATGCAAGAAAAGATGGAAGAGCTTGACCCTGCCTGAAACTTTTTATCTTCATCCCCTACCTCTGCAAACGGTAGGGAGAAAGTACTCTGCCTGTTCTCAGAGCGACTCCCGTCTTTACAATTCCGTTACTCCCCCGAGCCTTCTCGAGCTATATATTTTTCAAGCTGAGAAGAAGCAGAGCTAAGAAAAAATGGATTTCACTGCGAAAGAGCGATTCCTGTTGCTTTAATCCAGGGTGGCTTGTCATTTTCAACCCAGTCATTCGCTCCCTGCCCTCATGAGATCTAGAAGCTTAAATGAATCATTTTCCACTCCAGAGGTACACCCTCCTGTCAATTGCAGCAGACACTGTTTTGTTTTTAAAACAGACCTGTTTTTCCTTTGGTGACATCCTCAGTAGTTACAAACAGGAGGGAACAGCACGCCAAACCAGCACACACAACTCCAGTTAAAAGGTGGCCATTCTAAATGCATTAACTGCAAAGGGGATCGGTCGCCCTTTGCAATCCATGGGTGTAGGATTGCAGAGCTGGCTATCACCCTGCAATGCTCCAGCCTTCTTTATGGTGCAAAGCAGAGGGGTGGGGACGGGGGCCTTCCCAGATATTGCCTTAACTCTAAGCCTACCTGGATGCTTTTTGGAGGGGAGGGGGCGGATGGAAGGAGAAGGGAATCATCGTAATGATGCTTGCATGGCGAAAAAGACACACCGGATCATTCTGAAGGCCTCTGCATTTTCTGCTGCTTGCTGAGTACACAGCCGAGCTTTAACGTTCCAGCATCTCCTGCGTTTAAGCCTCATATCTTAACACGAACATCCTCATCGCCACTGCTATTACCTTTATTATTATTATTATTATTATTATTACACCGTTACAATGATTATGATCCCCACTATTCTTTGAGGGCATCAACTTGACCTGGCAAAACGAATCTCAGCTCCTGCCTTACCGATCAGCCCAATTTCTTCCCAGGTTATGCCCTGCGCTCAAATCTTTGCCCCGGCCCAGACACTGTCCAAAACGCTTTTCCCGACCAGCTACTGCAAACTCCAAGATGACTGTGGACGGTTTAAATCAGTCATCCTCTCTCTGGATCTCGCTGGAGGGTTTGGACTCCCTGAAATGCTCTAACGAATGTGGTGAGCAGCCAGGGAGGACACTAGCTGTCCACCAAGGGACACAGGTTGGAGAAGTGTGATTCAAATGCTTCCTCCTATGTCCCATTCCCTGCAGGTAGAAAGCTAATATGACAGGGATACCTCCTAGGTAGAAATCCAGCAAGTCAGGGAACGAGGTTCCAGGTTGTTTTCCCAATCTGCCCTGTTTTTCCAAAGGTATGGTTCTCTCTCCCTCTCACTCCTAAAACACCACACAGACATCCTTTCAATTATGATTGAAAGTTAAAAGGAAGAATTCCTCCCCTTGATTCTGCCCAACATCTAGTTGGGCATCTAACCCTGCTGTAGTTAGGCTTACCTGTATCCTGCCGGAATTGGTGCATGGACTGTAAATCTATAATATACGGCGACAGCTGGGCATCGACTTGTCCGAGCACGACGCTCCCCCAGACAACCCCCTCCAGGACATTCTCAATCTGTTGAAAAACGGCCGCTGTGTAGGGCCTCCACCGGCTATGTTCGTTCAGCCATTCCCACACGACAACCCTGGCCACATTGCTTGGGGGAAACCCCAACCCATTTGCGAAGAGCAGCACCCCTGGACCAGGCCGTGCCATGTTGCCACCTTCTCTGGGCCAGGCATGGGTGGCTGGGGGGCTTCCCACCACTTTGGGGAGCCCCAGGGCGGCTCAGGAGAAGCGCCCCGTTTCTCAGGTGCTTGGAAGGTGCCTTCTTTCCTAGGGTCCAGACCGCAGCTCCTCCCTTTGCGGATCCGGGACTGTGCCCAGCAAGGAAGCAAGCATAAAGCTGGGCATGAGAGCTTTAGGGGGAGGGCAAAGCTGCCCTGGGTGAGAAACGAGCTGGAGGTGAGTTTTCCAGGCCCGGTCAGTTTCAGGTGGAGGGGAAGGATTGGCAGAGCAAAGAAATCTCAAAGTTCACCATTCCAGAAAGGCAGCTGGAGCAAAGAGGGTCAGAAGACTGCAAAACAGGTGCCTGGATCTTCTGCGGCAGCTTTCAGAGGAACCAGAGACCTCCCTTCCTTTCCTTCTGCTGAGAAATGGTCGGAGTTCTCGCCTTTCCAGCTGCTAACCCTGGTTCCCAGCAGCAATCTTCTTTCCCCAACTCTTCAGCTCAGCTTTGATGCCCCCCAGCTCTGGCCCGGATGATCTTGAATGGCAGAGGCCAAGATCCAGGCGCCCGGGGCCCCCCGGAGGAGCCCCAGGTCTCAGAGGGGAGATCCGTCTCCAACCAGTCGTTCAGCTTCGGTCCGGAGGGGCAGAGATCGTGGGAGGGGCGGGGAGGGGCCCCTCCTTCTCCGCCCTGGTCAGAAGAGCGCGGCGGGGGGAGCCCCGGCTGGAGATGTCG